TATAATTAATGTTGCTTGTCTTACATAAAAGTAAGACAATAGGATTGACTTTAAGAATTGCAGCAAACTCGGTGAAAGACAACTTGCGTTTTTAGGTTGTGCGCATGGCTGATTTTCCGGTGCGGGCGGTTGAATCCCAGGAAGATCTTCCTTTTAAATGGCTTCGCGAGGGTCATTATGATATGGCAATTCTCAGCTTTAATTACTGGATCTTGCACGAAAAACGCACATCGACTGATCCTGTGGAAGAAAGACTTGGTAACTTTTACAGAGGATTAGCAGAAGCATATTGGCACGTGCACCGACCTGACTGGGCTTTGGATCAGATAAAACGATGCATAAGAGAGAACTGCCATGAATTTTCTGAGGTAATTCCAATTTTTCCTAAACTTTTTTAGCAAAGCTGTCAAAAAGAACACAGAATTACTTGTTCAAGTTCTTTTCCACCGAACTGACAAAACATGGCAGCTTCTTATTCCCTCCATTCTCCAACCTTTTTAAGTATAATTGTTTTGTGTGGGTTTTTTTTTTTTTTCTGTCGGTATAGACCCTATAACTCTTCTAGATATCTTATTCCGCATTTTAATCTCACAATTTTGCTAGGAACACGTGAAGCATTGGACGACGCTTGCTGATAAACAAGCCGAGATTCCCGTGTCTAAGCTCAAAGGCTACGAGATAGCAATCCTTTTCGTTCCTCCTCTTGACTTATTGAAAAAGAGTCATCTGCTGACAACAATGTTGCTGCTATGCTGTGAATTTGGGTCCTCCTTCCAAACCAAGGCTAGTTCGCTTATGGTCACAGCATCCCAGATCACTTGTGAATCAGAGGTAAGTATGATCAGCAACAGTATCATAACCAATAAGTGCGTTATGGTCGTCGCCGAAACACGTTTGACAACTTAACCGTTGTCCTTTGACGTAACAAAAAGTCATAATTCTCCTTTGAAAATTCACACCTTTTCTATGCGTTAAGCCTTCCAATTATCATTATAAAACGT